TCTATCCACTGAGCCAAACCAGCCAGGGCATGGCCTTCCTTTCTAGTTAAAGTGAAGGAGCCTCAGAAATCGACACCGTTAACTAGGAGGTCTGCGGGGAAATGAGCATGTGACTCGCCACGCACAGTGAAGGGACACCCGCTGTCAGAAGCCACCGTGCAGCCCCGGGAGACCTCGCTCACACACACAGCTCAGGCGGTGGTCCAGGCTGGACCCTGGTGGACGCTGCTCCCCTCCCGACTCCTGGCACACCACCCTGAACTCGTCTCACCTGACACGGTTTCTTGGCTCACTTGTCCCTTAAGCTTGGTGATCAGCCAGTCCACTTCTTCCAGGACCTTCTCGGCCTGACTCAGAACCAGCAGCTGTGAAAGGAAGGGATGCCTGCCATGGCCACTGCCCTCGGCGGCCAAACAGAATAGCCATGGCCGCCTGCGGTGGGTCACAGGCCCAGGACATAAGTCACTGTAAGTCACTCTTCGGGGGACATAAAGTGGGAAGGATGACAGGGCTGTTTCCCATGCTCCGGGATCAGGACTTACACAGACGGTAGGGGCCGCTGTTCGCAAATTCACCACCGCATAGTGGTTTGTTTTCTCCACCTCGACATCCTGGGGAGCGAGAGAGAATGAGCTGTAATGGCGTAGGCTGTGCCCTGGCCCTCACCCCCAGTGCTGTGAAGCCTGCCCCTCTACCTCGTCTATGTCCCCAAGGTGCCCGTGGATGTCCTGGGACAGGTCACGCAGCAGGGCGACAGGGCTCTTATGCGCCACGTGGAGGCTGAAGAGCAAGTTCATCGCACCCTTGCAAAACAAGGCATCCTCTAGGGCAGGGAGGGAAGAAATCAGAAGCTGAGTTATCACCCCGTCAGTGCTTCAGGGCAGGGGAGGCCCGGCCAGGACACGTAGCTCATGTTCTGGCACAACCACCCCCCCAACCCCCCACCGAGCTGCCCACTTGGACCAGCAACTCACCCACAAACGTGCCCTGATCTCCACGTGCCCAAAGGAGGGAGACAGTTCCCAAGACCGGTCACCCCGACCGCTGCGTAACCCGCACCCAGAAACCCTCTGCCTTGATCGCCCCAACAACGAAACTGCTACCCTGACCTCACATCCAGTCCTGTCTGATTTTGAACTTGATCTACAGGGGGTCATAGAGCAAGTACTCTTCTGTGTCGACAGTGCCAGTGTTCCAGAGTGGATGTGAGCAGAGGTCCCACCGCTCTATGCCCCCGACACGTGGTGCTGTGTCTCTTTCTCATGCGGGCTCTTCTGCCGAATGCGTAAATGCTATTTGGTGGTGATTTCAAATAAAGCTGACAGGACGCGCGGCAGGACACTCACCCCGGCTGTTTTCCTTGCAGATCTTGGATGTCCAGGATAGCATCTGCACAAACTGGAGACCGTTCAGCTGTTACAGAAACGGCCGAGACGCATCTACAAGAGCCTAACCTTCCCCCGCCTAACCATCCGCCAATACACGTGCCCGGACCCACTGGAACATCTACTTGGAACAGCACGAGAGTAGGCCCAAAATTATGAGAATTACTGATGCTTTCCTTATAAGATCGCATACAACTTAATTCCCCAAGTCTATGCCCTCATTAAGGGCCAAATGTCCTGGGACCCCGGTCTGGGTCTCACCCACAGCCTCCCCTGCCCCATAACCACGTCCAGGGCTGGAGTTCCTTCCTTCCTCCCCGTTCCCCGCAGCCCTGAGGCATCTCCAAGGACATCAGGCGAGTGGAGAGGGGCAGGAGAGTAAGGTCCTGGCCACAAAGACAGCAGAATTCACTTTTAGGAGACAAGAGGCCAGAGGAGGTTAGAAGGGAGTAAGCAGAAAATAGAAGAAGAGATGCCCTAGTGGGTTTGGCCTGCGGACTGAAGGGTCCCGGGTTCAATTCCAGTCAAGGGCACATGCCCGGGTTGCAGGCTCCATCTCCAGTGGGGGGTGTGCAGGAAGCAGCCGATCCATGATTCTCTCTCATCACTGATGTTTCTCTCTCCCTCTCCCCCTTCCTCTCTAAAACCAATTAAAAAAAATTTAAAAAGGCAAAACCCAGCATTTTTCTTAGGTGGTAGAGACACACCGAGCTTCCTGCCCAGCAGGTCCTTCCATGGCCTGCAGCCCAAAGGCCCCGACAGGCTGTGATACTTAAGTGCAAGACACCCAGTAGGAACTCCTTTTGCTGTACTGGGGGGAACAGTAAATTCAGAGCCTACATCTGAAAGCTCTGTGAACGGAGGCAGAAAGGCCTGCAGGTGCCGTGTGAATGGAACCAGCAAGAGGCAGAACATGCTTTGGTGTGAAGAGGGGTGGGGACGGGAAAAGGAGCTCCATTCGTATTTGCTTCTCCAGGAATAAGGAAACTTGAAGGATGCATAAGAAGCTAAGAACAGGTATGTACTTCTTTGGGGGAGAAGAGGAGCTGGACAGGTGGGCGGCATGAACAGGATAGGAGGCCGTTGACTATAAATGTCTTTATAATTGTTTGTCTTCAAATCATAAGACTTATTATCTGTTCAAAATTAAATTTACAAGACAAGGGACTGCCCTGGCTGGTGTGGCTCAGTGGATGTAGCGTCAGCCCAGGTACTGAAGGGTCCTGGGTATGGTTCTGGTCAAGGGCACACACCTCGGTTGTAGGCTTGATTCCGGCCCTGTTCAGGGCATGGGCAGGAGGCAACCAATCGATGTGTCTCTCTCA